CGGGAGGAGGGGGCACGGTTCGAGGCGATGGTCTATTTTAGGAGGTTCTTTAGGAGCTCTTTACGTGGTCTTAGGAACTTTTCAGGGGGGCACCATTTGGCTCTGAAAACACAATTTTCCATTGAGACTTGGTAGGTGAGATCGCGTTCATAAATTGCGATGTATGCCTGTCCGTCTTGGGAGGGGCATTTTGCCCTTGCGCTAGTCCATTTTGCTCGTTCATGTTAACTAACATGTGAACTCTTGTGAAGCTGCAAAATGGTACATGAGCCATCTTTCTTACTACAATTCAGAGGACTTCACAGGGTGGCCTGTACAGACCTCACTGAGTGCAATTTGGTGCTCCCCCCATCAAGAGGAGCTGCACCTTTCGCCATTTTGCGTCAATTTGGCGCCATGACTTTTTTCATCAAATTCGTTACGCTGGCGCAAAAGCAAATGCCATATTCGCGATGTGGCACCCTAACAAATTACCCCGTTTTGAGGCTGCGAAAAGGTACTATCATGATGGGATCAGTAAATTACCCCTATATAGGTTTATAACGAGTTCGGAGGGAAAAGTGGTATCGACGAAATGGTGCCGGATAACTTTGGCGCCAATGTCGTATTCGCGCTGAACAAGCTGAACCTGATTTCTTCATGGGAGAAATTTTCGATATTTTGAGATTGCAGTAATAGAACATTGCAGACATTTTGAACGAAGTCCGGGCCAAGTCCTCGCAGCGAATTCCATAGCAGCTGAGTGAGATCGCCGAGTCTCTCGAACCGCCGAGATTCGGCGATCTCACTCAGCTGCTATGGAATTCGCGGCTATCGCTAGCGACCGGCACTAATGGATACTTATAGCTCCTTCCGCGCGCAATCTCTCAAACCGTTGAGTCTCCCAAATCGCCACAATTCTAAATCGCCGAATCTCCTCAGTCGCAAAGTATGAACACGGCCTGGGGCTTACAGGAGACCACGACTTTCCCATGAGACTGTCTGCGGCGTCTTTGGTCGTCCGTGCTCTGAACCTGAGCTCTACGAGATCGGACGCCTACGAGAGCGGCCAGGTGGTTCTCCTTCTTAACGGCTGAATATCTCCAAAGGATAACTGGTTATGTTCGGCTGGAGGGGGGGGGGGCATTTTTCTGGTTCACTAGTTCCTGTTACCAATTTCGGTTGACCTACAGCACGTCTCACCTTGGTGGGCCCTGTAGACTCCTGTCAAGTTTGAAGGAAGCTCGTGCTCTATAGGTATTGATAGGAGGAATTGGCAGAGATTGATGGGAACTAGCAAAATGTCCCCACTGAACCAATCGGCGACGATTAACCTTCTAATGCTTTTTTCTGGGGATGTGATTGGTGAAACGGTCCTCGACATCATTTCATGGCTTTCTAAGCATTTTCTACCACCTTCCCATGTTGGCAGTTCACAACTAGCTGGGTACCTGCGATCGTTGCTTTCCCAAAATATGTACGTTGCTCTTTTCCTTGTCTTTTTAATGTACGGATTTGCATGTGGGCGTTCCACTTTTCGATCGATGACACGTTGATGGCAACCATTTCGGCGAGTGCGTTATGATTTGAAGTTCGCTCCTACAGAAAAGTGTGTAGAATTCTCGAAAACCTTCTTCTCCAAATCATTTCACACTTTTCCTTATTCATAACCTTTTAGGAAATGCTCAGCCCAACCAAGCGTTTTTTAGGGCTCTCTTTACGTCTTCACTGGTGTTCTGTTCCTGTTCGGCTACACCTGCATTCAGGACGAAGTGAACCCCGATTCCAAGTGGGCAGGTCAGTAACCAAACTGCGCCTTAGATTTGCTTTTGCTGATAATAGGTTTCAATTGCTTTAGACTTCATACATTGATATTATTTCAGAAATTTATCGAGCTATAACTCAAGAACCGCTCAAATGGATGGGAGCGGACAAGACAGCGGCGACAAGGCCGGCCCCAAGCCTCTCCTCCCCTCTGAGGCAAGTTCATTGATCGTAGTTCCGGATTTAAGTTGATTTGCTTCGAATGCACTTTGAACGGAAAGGACCACTGCCCT